ACGGAGGCGATCTGCGACGCCACCAGCAGCCGTCGACGTCCCCACCACCGCGAGCCACCGAGTTCGATGTCGTCGTGTCGACGTCCTCGACGGCCGCGCGGAAGATCAATATCAGCGACTCGAAATCTGGAGGCGGTGATGAACTGCCACCTACAGCGGACATATCCGAAGGCCCCGGGTCTTTCTGTTGGACGTCGAGCACTCGTCCGGCGGGGCGCTGCAGTGGGTCGATGCCTACCTCCGAGTCCAAAGATGCTCTAGAGCCTACAGACGCGGCTGCGCGACCCTGCGGCGACGGATCGAAATGAGGAACTCGCCGGGCGGCTCTATTGGCGGAGGCGCCCGCTGGCCCTGGCTTCGGCAAGTTCTTTCTTCAATAATACACGTCCATTGAGCGATGCGCTGTTCGTGGAAGGAGAGATACGAACAAGTGAACACGGGCGGATAGATTGTGCGTACGTACCGCACTGCGCCGCCGGCCATTGAGTGCGAGTGCGAACCCGGACCTGTTGGACCCGTGCGGCGCCGGGCGCAGCTCTTCGCAGACTAACCAAGGGGCGCACACCGAGCCATCAGCGCGGAGTGTGCACGTCACGGCGAGGAGGGCAAAAGCCCATTGTAGGCCGTCCTATGCCAGCTTGGACAGGCGTTTTCCATCAGTCGCGCGGGGTGGCTGGCGTGATGATGGTGGTGGGGCAGGCGGACAGTCGGGTAGGTACCTGTGACGAGCACCCATGACAGTCCCGAAACAGACGACGCGATGAGCGCGTAGAAGGACGTACAGCGTCGTAATGAATGCAGGAACCTCGGCTATCGAGAGTTCAGTCCGGTTTCCTTGTCGAGCTGCCCAGCGGGCGGCCTCGCTCTCTTGTCAGGGACGTGCGCTACGGTCCTACGCGTATAAAGAGGGCGGTGAGCAGGCCGACGAACCTCAGGCCCCAGGTCAAACAACCCCGCTCACCAGCATTCGCGTTCTCCCCTCCCCACCCGCTTTCATCACCATGATGTTCTCTCGCGCTGCTGCCTTTGCTCTCGGGGCTCTCCCCATTCTTGCGGTCGCCACCCCCCTCGAGGTTCGCGGTGGGAGCGGCGGAAGCTCCTGCTCGACCGGGCCGGTCCAGTGCTGCAACAGCACGGTCGATGTAGGCGTTCCATGTCTTAGACAGCACGAGCAACCTCGCTGATGGCGTGTATAGGCCGACTCGGCGTCGGGCAACCTCCTGCTGGGCCTGCTGGGCATCGTCCTCGGGGACCTTACCGGCCTCATCGGGCTGAACTGCTCGCCCCTCAGCGTCGTCGGCGTCGGCTCCGGCAATGCCTGCTCCTCCAACGCCGTGTGCTGCACGAACAACAACGTCGTAAGTAGCTATGGCCTCTGAGAGCATCTGAGAGGTGCTGACCGCGTTACCTTTGCAGGGCGGGCTCATCTCTATCGGCTGCCTCCCCATCACGCTCTGAGCGGGATGTTTCGAGTCGCAACTGATCGACCTGGAGATGGAGGCCGTCTGTTGAGATAGCATGGCCTACATGCGGAATGCTGTAGCGGACGATGACCGTTGTGCCTCTTTCTTGCGATACCGTACTATGTGATCTCGTGAATGGCAGTTTGTCGAGTCTTCTATGCGATACGAGTGCGTCCAGCGAGCAAGAGCCCGAGTGCCACAGTCCGCCTGCGTAGTATCGATGTGAGCGGTAGCCATGTGTGCGGTACGGCGGCGGCAACGGTTCCCCCGCGAAACTACTCCGCCAGACACGACTGTGAGAAAGGTATAGTCAGTCATTCCGACGGATCACGAAGCGAGACAGGCCCCGAGGGGAGGGTACAGCCACGAGGCGGATGCGGTGCGAACGTTGGAGCAAGCTCGACTCGCTCTGGGTTCTCGCCTTCTGCGTTCTCGGTGCGTGTACCCATGGAGCACTCCGTAATGGGGCCTCCGGAAAGGTATTGTGGGAACGTGCCCGATCTGCTAGGAGGCTGGCAGCTGGACCCTGGTGGGTGGTGGGATTGTGAGAAGCCGCCGCACCACGCTCTAGCTCGGGATCGGCGATTTCAGCATGCGCTTTGCGTTGCTCCGCGGTCCGGACTCCCTGGAGAGCGTTACCCTGCACAAATGCGCGGCGAAGAGAGAGATGACGAGATGCAAGCACCAGAATCTAGGAGACAAAGATAGACCAATGTCGCCTTGCGTCCGTCAGGAGAGGCCGACGGGTTGAGCAGCGCGGCATGAGGCGACGCTCCTCAGCCCGAGCCGCAGACCCGTCGCGGTCGCGTCTAGCGGAGAGGCTCATTTCCGCTCATGTGTCACTTAATCATGGGCTTGCTACTGCCATAGGTAGCCGGGATATGATACCTGGCGGCGTACATATCTGGGGGTACATGTGGGTCGTGCCCGCCGTGCCGCACGAAAATCCTACTAGTACTTCCGAGAGGCTAGAAATACGCAGAGGAGTCGGCCCGAGTTCCCCAGCCACACAGCCAGCAACACAGGAGAATAACATCACCCCATAGAGAATAATGAACGAGAATATTCATGTTGAGATGTCGACCAGGCAGAAACCCGCAACCATGGTCAACTGCAGGCGGACGATGGGCCGGGTCCCGGCGTCTATACAGAACGCCACCCCGCCGGCGCTACCGCATCGGGAGTTCCGGCAAATAGCGCCTCCATAGTCGGACAGGACCACCACCATCGTCATTCCCACCTGTGCATGTCCCCTCTTCAGGTACACGAGCATTTACATATTTTGTTTGCGTCATTGGCACCAGCACGCCGTAGGCATGGATGGCACCTCGCCGTCCTCTGACAGTTGCCATATATAACAGCGATATCATACCGTGACGGAGCGCGCAGGTACGTCATACTTTCATACACACCCTTGTATGACGCCAGTCCTCCGACTACACCTTGCAGTCTCATCGCTACTCTCGCTTGAGAGTATGCCATCATCCCGGGTCGAGTATCTTGGGAACGGGGTCGCACTAGCACATTGACAGGCGAGCCTGAGGACACCGCCGCCGCCGACAGTGACCACCGTTCGTACTTGCCTTGCCGCGATCGTCACTCGCATTCGCGGCCGGGTTCACGGCATGCTTCTCTGCTCCCGAATTTGACTGCAGCTCGATCTGGTATAGTCTGCGCGAGATCAGTCGGGTGCCAACGCGTTCTGTGTGTGCCAGTGTGCCACACGATCGCGGCGTACACAACCCCAATCCGGACAAGAATGTTGCTCGGCCGAGGTATGTCACGCCGATCGCTCCTCCCGGTATGTACTCATTGTGGGTGACAGTGATACGTTCGGGATGTCCGCGGGCTTCTGTTGAACTTGTGGGCGTATATATGAGCGCCGTCGCAGGCCAAGCGACCGAGGGGTACTGACGTCCTCTACTGTCTGGCTGTTCCCGCTCTCCTAGCTATGCGTTCCGTCGTCGCTTTCTTCGCTCTGGCGACCTGCTATGGCTTCGTATCTGCCGACAACACGGGGCCGTCTCCTCTACGACCTCGCCCACGTACCCTCAATACCTACGCCTTGCGGCACGCTCCCAACCGCCGTGATCTAACGGACACCTGTGTATACATGAACTCTACTGTACTCGGCACGCTTGACGAGTCCGAGATACCTACTGGGCTGCCCTCTGATGTCGACTCTTGTCTCTGCATGGGAAATCTGCCGCAGCTGCTTTCTACGGACGCTCAGTTTGCATATACCGTGGAGACGTTGGGCCTTGCGGCCGCCGAGCAAGCGTTCAGCTTCATGGTACGCCTCCGTCTCTCTTATTTCCTCGATTTAACCGCCAACCGACACGCTATCGTGAGAAACAGATATCCAACATGCCGACGTCCCAAGCGTGCGTGTACCCGCAGAACTCACAGCCCCTTTGCACTCGGGAGAACGTCTGCGGTTTTGTATGCGACGCTCCCTTCACAGCAGTCGGGAACCTCTGCATCTGCGCCGAGGCGGACGGATGCAGCGCGAGCCCGTTATCTGCCCGGAAGACGTCGTCCAAGAGCAGACTCGTGAAACGTGCGGTCATCAAGTCTTTTGCAGCAGCTCAAACGACCTGTGCGGCTCATGAGACGGTGAGTATTCTGGAGCAGGGCCGGATGTGCCTATTCTAACGGTTCGTTAGGTTTGTGGCACCTACGACGGCGTCCGCGGGGGGTTCCAGTGTGTTGATACCAGTACAAACCTAGAGAGTTGTGAGTAGCCTCGCCTTTCACCGAGCACTGGCATACAACTGACCACCATTCACTAGGCGGAGGTTGTGCGGTCCCCCACCCGTTCGGCCAGCCGCCCAGCGCGTCCGGCACGGGCGTAGATTGCGCCGCCCTTCCGTACGTCGAAGACGTCTCCTGTCAGGCAGGGAGCTGTGCCGTACGCAGCTGCCGCTCGGGATGGATCGTCAACAACGCGGGCACGGGGTGCATTCTCGACGCCGAAGCGGGCGCTGCGGCGACCGCAGGCGCAGACGTCTACTCCCGCGGCGTCATCCCCGACCAGATCCAGCGCGCGCCTTCGCAATCTGCCACCCAGGGTCCGAGGGGGGTCGGGGCGGCGCGTCGCAGCGACGCAGGCAGCGGCAGCGCAGTTACGGAGGAAGCTCCCCGACGCGCCCGCCGCTATTCTGGGCGTGCGTCTGTTGCGCGCGAGAAGTTGGAGAAGATGGGGGAAGATGGCGTCCACATCCCTGACGTTCGCCCCGAGAACGTCGCGGAGGCGGCGGGCAGCGGGCGTGTGCAACACCCCGCGCCCAAGAAGATCAACGAGGATTGGGTTCGTATTCCAGATTATCGCAGATTCGGCGTGGTTTGAGCTGGGACACCGTACGCTTGTGGAGCGCTGCCATGGTGCGGTATGTGAATGGGTTCGCTTGTTTGTCTATTAGCTGGGATGTCTATTTGTGGTCGTTTCATTGTACGTCGTAACGTCCTCGTCTGTGATATACGCGCACTCTCCAGGAGGCTCGAACGTTGTGTTATGTGCACGATGGAGGGCAAAAAGGGCCTGGCCGGGAATTGAACCCGGGACCTCCTCCAGATGGTGCAGAACATTGTTCCACTCCCTAAGAAGGAATCATACTACTAGACCACCAGGCCTTGAAAGCGTTGCCAATGGTTGATCTCAGATTGGCCAGAGAAACGATCCACCTGCAATGGTGCCCGTATTGGCTACTTTACATTTGCTAGGGCTCAGCCTCTCCCTTGACATGGACAATTCCGGCGTGTGAAAAGCACAACATCCACCCGGCGGTGCAACACCACCACCCCAACCTACCACGATGCAGGGATACATCCCGCTTGTTCCAGCTCACTTACTAATAGTACTGATCAAGCGAGAGACCACACAATAGCAGGCAGTAGACGATTTGCATCGTATATCAATTATGCGCTATTACTGTAGTCCGAGAATCCACTGATTCATCCATCGCCCGCACTCAAGACCCCATCCAGCTACCTTAGAGGATGATGGGGACACAGCCGATGGAGATGAGGCCACCCTGCACAAGACTGTGAGTACCGACACAAAGATCATGCCATGCCCTAATACTCACGACGTTGTTGTTCTCGCAGCACACGGGCGAGGCCTTGCAGTTGTCCTGGCCGGCACCCACACCGGAAACGCCGGAGCATTGGAGACCGACCTGGCCGCCCACGTTGCTTAGGTCGAGGCCGAGAAGACTAGTGAGCACGCTGATGGCGCTCTCGTGTTTCTGTAGGGAGGACATCAGCCCATGTTCTTCGATCGTCCCAATGAAACTGCTTACCTCGTGAACGGAGTTGCAGCACTGGATACTGCCAGTGTTGCAGTCCCCACGGCGGAGGGGTGTAGCGGCCGCAAAGACGGGGAGAGCGAGGAGAGCGAAGGCAGCGACACGGGCGAACATGGTGAATGAGTGGATTGGGGAGTCGAAAGAGTGACTGGGTGAGTGAGTGTGTTTGGAGAGCGAGGAGAGACGAGAGACGAGAACTGCTGATCGTAGGACGACTGCAACGGGGACCACCCACGGTGAACGCTGCAATATTTATACTTGGACGGTCGGCCCGTGCGCGCTGGCACTCGGAGGGCTCTTCCGCGTCACACTTCTGCCCTTCGTGCTGCGACGCGGCCTGGTGGACTTGGTTCGTGGCTCTCGGCCAGCAAGATCTGTGTCTGAGAACGCTACCCGACGGGTAGCGGTCGCGTAGCGTTTGGCGCCGGTGGGGGGCACAGCGGCCCACTGCGGCGCGCCTTCTTTCATTTGATCGGTCACAGTCCTCGTGCAGCCTGCGCGGTCATCCCCATCCGCCTCCGTGCGCCCATCCCCGACTGTGTGTTCGCGACGCCAGCGAATTTGATCGCCGCGCCGAGCTGTTCTTAGCACGCACGCTCGTACGTTCGATCGCAATATCGGCGGACCGTGCGGCCTCCCCCTTCGGCGCACAGAGTTTCCTGCGGGATGAATCGGAGGATGCAGTTGCAAGATCATGCAGACTTTGCCGGAGTTCGTAAAGTTCGTAATATACAGAAATAAGCATGGAAGACGGCGGGCGATTCATAACACACTGCGGAAGTCGTCGCCGGTCGGTGAGTCAGTTCATTGGTCCTTCTGTGCAGGGTCGACCGCAATTGCCATTGACGCTAGGTCTTGTGTCGCCCGCAGGCTTCTGCCCGGTCGGAGAGCGAGTTCTATGAGGCTTTCCATCAAGCCAGCTTGACAGGAGACCGCTGGAAGGCGTTCTCGACCGCAGTGAATGCGACTTCTCCATCCCCGCGAAGCGTTGGAATGCCGCCCATGCGGCGGACGGAGGGGCAGTTGTCTACGCACTCGGAGATGCTGACTAGAACGCGTGCCAGTAGCTACTCCCGTAGAAGCTGCCAATACTGGAGTGCACCTGAACAACGCCCAAGTGGTTCGATGAGCGTCGCGCCCTGCCAGTGCTGGTACCGGCGCTCTTGGCCAGAAGTCTAAGTGGGTGAGTGGCAGAATCTGGGCAGAACCAGTCGTGTCGTTGTTAGGGCCAGTTTTGACGAAGTACACAGCGGGGTCTCGAACCCATCCAGCAGCTCCGGCATCTTCTGATAGAGTCGCCGTTAGGAAGAGCTTCTCGTCGCACTCCGTTACCACATCTGTTCCGGGGGATTATCTCGCGCGTTCGCATTCTCTAGCGCATACAGGACATAGACGACAGTGTCTCGAAGCCACTACACGGTGAGCCATCTTCGAACCCTAGAACCCGTCTCCACCAGACTCTTCCTCCCGCAGGCTTAGAGGGTGATGGGGAGGCACCCGATGGAGATCAGGCCGCCCTAGGTCCCCATGATCAGCATACAGCGCCCAGGCCGTCAGAGAGTGCTCGCGGAAACTCACGACGTTGTTGTTGCTGCAGCAGACGGTGTTAGCGGAGCAGGCATTGCCGGAGCCGATGCCGATAACGTTGATGGGCGAGCAGTTCAGCCCGAGGAGACCAGTGATGTCCCCGAGGACGATGCCGAGCAGGCCCAGGAGGAGGTTGCCCGAGGCCGAGTTGGTCTGCGCAAGCGGTCAGCGTCTGCGCGCGCGCTCACTGTGGGCAGGAAGGTGCGCGTACCTCGGTCACGGAGTTGCAACACTGAATGGCACCGGTGCTGCAGGTCTGGCGCACCGCGAGCTCGTGGACGGGGGTGGCGACCGCAAGAAGGGGCAGAGCCAGGGTAGCGTAGGCGGCGGCACGGGCGAACATGGTGAGTTGAGTCGGTTCGGTGGGCGGTGAGGGCTCGTGTGGCTGGATGACTGGGCGGAAGGAGCTGAGGTTTGCAGGGCTCGATGCCGCAGCTTATATATGTTTTGCGGCGAAGCCGTTCCCCAAGACTCGTCCTCGCTCGTCCTTGGCATCTTGTTTCGGATGTAGTGTGGACGTGCCTCGGCGGAGTGTACTGAGCCACGTCCATGCGGCGGTGCAGGTGAGTGTCCAATCTATTGCAATCTATTCTCTGCTACCGCGAGCGAGGCCCGCTCCACGGCCCATTGGCTGTGGATGAAGGACTCGACACGGGATGCCGGCGTTCCCATCTGCGAAGGTATGTTTAAACGCTCCATGTCGCCGTCGGGGTCAGGACCGCATGTTGTCTGTCTGCAGATTACACTCTCCGCGTGTTCTCTCACCACCGGGATGAATGCACTGTCGGTTTGAGCGAAGACACAACTTCGACGTCGCACTCCAAATGGCCTGTGATGCCCGTCCCTTGGCATTGTTAGCTAATGTCATCGGACCGTGTCCACCAAGTGCGCTGTCATGAATGATGTCGCTGAGACGTACGTCCTGACGCGCTTGCGGATCGAAAAGCTGACGAGTATTCCTGGCATCGTCGTGTCCGAGGACCTGGGAACTCAAGACCATCCGTTGGATCCCATGTCTAAACCACCGAGCGTCCAGGCTGGAGAACAACGGATCCATCGTCCCGCGCAAGGCTCCCAGTGAGTTTTCCGCGGGAGCCGGTCGCTAAGTACGTCTTTCCTGCGCTCATTTCGCATGGACTTGGGATCATGTACGCTCTCGTCTTTGTCCACCTGACGCCTAGATGCGCCGGTGGTCTTCGCTCCTGAACATCGAGCCGCAGCCGTCCTCTGCGGCATCTCCTTTGCCGACTCTCGACATTCATCTACGAACGGGGCCTATACCGGACGAGGGTACAACGCGACAGATGCAGACGGACTGTCAGCGCCTCGAGCTGATGGAATACACTTTCTGGGGCGCGAATGAAGGCTGGCCGCCATGCCTCCTCGGCGTTCCCGTCGTGGGGAGATGCTTACGGCCAATTTTTGTCATTGGCTGGAGGGATCTCGGTAATGAAACAGACGGGTCGGAGAGCGGCTCATAGGCCTCCGCGGCGCGATCCGTCTTTGCACGCTGTCCAGATCAGAACTCGAGCAACCTTGCCGCGATGCCATCTCAGTCCTCCACCGGCCTCCGAACGGCCCCAATTGTCCCTACTCGAGGTGAGTCGTACTACACCCCCGGCGGCGGTCAGGCTATGGTCGAATACGTACGCTCAATAGAGTGTAGGCATTTCCGCGCCGCCGTGGACGAAGCGTCGAGGACGCCGCGCAGGCGACGACAGCCAGGCACACCAATGGTGATTGTCCTGCGAGGACGTTTCCCTTGTTTGGGTGTGCGAGCGAGATCTCCCACAGCATCCGGTAAGCTCTTTACCTCCGCACCCACCGTGAAGGGATACGAAGCTGGCGGGCCAAGTGCGGCCAGGAAGTTGGCTCGCGGCGCCTCTCTCTTTCCCCATGCCGTCGGCTCATCCTCCCTCCCGTTTTGTCGCTGGGTCCTGTGTGGAGCGACTCTACGCTTCCACCGCGGACGAAGGAGCACCTCTTGGATCGCTATACAACCTTGCTCCTCTGTGCAGCGTATGCTTGAGCTGCTTTCGGGATGCCCCCGGCCGCTAGAGATCAGATTGATCGAGATGGAAACAGTCTCCAGACGGAGACCTTTGTGGGCACTTTCATTTAAGACTATCGCCCCCGACCCCGCGCCGCGCGCGCCCGGCATACGGCAGATTTGGGCGTCGTCGTTCGCCTTTGGCCGAAAATGCATGCAACGCCCAGGTCTCATGTCTCAGACTCTCAGATCTCAGCCTCGACGCCTCCGGGCTGTCAGTCTCGTCCGACCTTACGGATGTCCGGCCAAGACTCGCCTAAGCGTGTGGGGCGCAACCACGCGGATCATGAGGAGGCAGGTGTGTCGTTTGCTTCCATACCGCTGGCTCACGTCCTCCTGTCAAGGACCGTACTCCGCGCTGCGACGTGCTTTCCCGTGTGGAGCGCGGAGGACGTCTGCGAACTGTAAGTCCCTCGTCGACGTCGTTCTCCCCCGCGCATCTCTTCCAAGCCTTACCACGCCTTTCGCGTGAACCTCGTATGTCATCGGTATATTTCGGCCCACCGTTCGGACCCGCGGTCTATCTAGAGACTTGTCAGAGCCATGACGAATGGGGGCACGGTGCATTCAACTTCGCGTAGAGTTTGTTTAATTCCAGCGACGCGCGTAACGCGTACCTTCCAGCCCGGCTGTCACTGGACGGCTATGTATGTTTTCCCTTGCCCGCGGCCCCATTATCACGTTGGGTC